CACACACACACACACACACTTTCCTTACCACCTACAAATATGCTCATTTATCTCTGTATCTTAAAAAAAAATCACTTCATCCTACCATCTCCAACAGCTATTGTTCCATATTCTCCTCCCCTTCAGGTTAAACTCCTTGGGAAATCAGTTTACACTTGGTACCTCCCCTTTATTCTTCTCTTACTCCATCCAAAACCCTCTGCAAGCTGACTTCCCATCTCATTATTCCCCTGAAACTGTGCTCTCCAAAGTTATCAGTGAGCTCTTAATTAACAAATCTAATGGCCTTTTCTCAATTATCAGTCTTCATAACTTGTTGGCACTCTAGATCACCTTCTCTTCCTGAACATTTTCTCCATTCTGGATTTTCATGGCGCTGCTATCTCCTGATTGTCCTCCTATCATGTCTTTATTGCTACTTCTGTCTCCTTTGCTGGATCTTTCACCCAGGACATGCTGAGTAAGCATAGATGTCCTCCAAGGCCCTGTCCTGGTCCCTTATCTCACTTCACGGTATTACTCACTTGGTGATCTCATCAACTCTCCTGGATCAGTTATCGTCTCTATGTTGATAATTCCTAGATGTATATCAAGTTCTGTTTCGCTACTGAGTCACAGTCCTGCACCACCAACTGCCTCTTATAAATCTCCAACTGGATGTCTTGCCAGGCATCTCCAACTCATTATGTCCAAAACAGAACTCATTACCTTGCCTCTAAAAAAATCTCCTTTTTTCTAGACTGACTTACTGTTGATTACACCACCACCCTCCTAGAAATCCAGGCTTGAAACCTCAGTGTCATCCTCTAGCCCTCATTCTCAACTCCACATTTCCAGTCCATTGCTGTGTCTTATCGTTTCTATCTTCACATCACTCATATACATCCCTTTTCCTTCACTCATACAGCCACAACCCTAGTTGATCTCTATGACTCAAGTCTATTTCCATTAGCTCTTCAATCAGTTACCAAGGTCATTTTTCTACAGTGTAGGGATAACCCTGTCACCGCTTCCCTTCCCTTTTGATCATTGAGCTTTAGTGTCTCCCTATTACTCTAAGATCAAATACAAATTTCCGAATTTGGCATCTAAAGCACTTCATTACCTGGCCCTTCTTCTTCCTACTTCCTCCTCCTCTTTTTTTCTCTTTTGGAGGCTAATGGAGTTAAGTGAATTGCCCAGGGTCACATATCTAGTAAGTATAATTCCTTGATGTGAGGATGTAAACCTCTGGGATCCACTGAAATCACTTTCAAAACCTTTCTCAAATTCAATAGTCCCTTCCTGGTTATGAGATCTTCATGTATGAATTCTTTTTTCCTGACCAACATAAAAGATTTGAACTCAGGTCCTTCTGACTCCAGGGCTGGTGCTCTATCCACTGTGCCACCTAGCTGCCCCTCTTCTTCTATTTAAAAAAAAAATCAACTTGAACAGAAAAGAAGAACTATTTAAAACAGTAAATATTCTCCTCCCCAACCCCAACACTGATTTTTAGTATACTGATGCTACCTCCATCTTTACTGAAGTTCTCTTCAAGGACCAGCTAGGATGAGACATAGCTTAGCATCCTCAGAAAGTTATGTTAAGTTTGTTTAAAACCAAAAAAAAAAAATAAGTTTTTGTTTAGTAGATCAAGAAGGTGTAGCAACCATACTCTTCAACTGTCCAAGAGCCATCTTGAAAATAAGTAAAGAATTAACAAAAAGAAAAGGAAAAAAAAATATGGTTGGAGGTGATAGCACATGCCTGTAATCCCAGCTTTCATCTATCTCTTGATTTCGGGTGTTCTGAGCAGTAGTGGGCTAAACCAATCAGGTAAACACATTGACTTTGGCAAGCCTCTAGGACTGAGGGTCAGGGGACACCAGATTGCCTAAGGAAGAGTGAACTGGTCTGGGTTGGAAACAGAGCATGTCAAAGCTCCCATGCTAAACACTAATGGTCTCAAACCCACTTCCAGCCTGATAGCCAGATAGGAAAATCCAGTCTTTAAAAAAAAGAAAAGAAAAGAAAAGAAAAGAAAAAAGCACTGCTTCTAAGCAAAAACAATAAAAATTCTAAAAAATTAAATGCATCAAAAAATAAAATAATTCAAAAATACAAAGTACAAAATGCAAAACAGAAGAACAGAGTGTATGTCAACTACAATTCTACAAAAAGAAAATTGTACAGGGGACAGACAAATGTACAAACAGAAAAACCTTGAAGGGGACACAGAGGAAGTGGCTGTCAATTTGCTAGGGAAATCTTATGTGCTGATTTTTGACAATGCAAATAGCTGGAAAGTTTAATTGTTTTGGCGTTATTTAATGTTAAGGTTATAACAAACAACTTATTTAAAAAGAATGGAGGGGAGAAAGCCTATTACACTGCTGGCTCATACTTAATCATTCCATTCAAGCATAATATAGGCAAAATACTAAATTTTAAGGGAGGGAAAAGTATTGAGCTAAATTTGCTTTTCATTGTCTGCTGTTCTTACAATTTGAGAGTTAACAGTCACAGCAGCAGACACAGACGCTCTCCCGGACCACAGCCCTGAAAGATCAGAGTACTGGGCTCCTAGCAGGAGAACTTCAAAACCGGGCTGTTTAAAGTAAAGGTTCCAACTCATGGGATAGAATCTGAGGAGCACCAGAGCAGATATTAAGGGGGAGAGACTAAAGTAAACATCAGGAAGGAAGTACCCTGCAATCTGCTGCTCTTCGGTTCCAAGAGAACAAGATTTCCCTCCCATCCCTAAAACTCATCATCATGATAATAACTTAAAGTTTGACTGATACCACCTTCCTCAGTCTCATCTCCCCTCACAGTGGAAGGCTGGAGCATGGAGTACCAAACTCTTCCCAATGCCTTTCTTTATCAAGAGTAGAAACTTAGATTCACCCTAAGTTAGGTTTCATCTTCCAACTAACAAGATCAGGGCACTTCCCCCCACCCCCACCTCCCCTGCTTCCTTTTGTGTGCTGTCTTGCCCTCTTCCATTTAATTATAAGCTCCCTGAGGGCAAGGAGTGGTTTTTTTTAACTGCATCCCCAATGCTTAGCACAGTACCTAGCACATAGTAGATTCTTAATAAATGTTTATTGGATTAGATTGGAAAGAGAAAGTTTATGATTTAATTGCCATCCAACAAAGTGTGTGTGAAACTCCAAATCTGTAGTCTTTCCTCAAATTGTGATTCCATGATTTTGTTCCTGTGGGTTAATTCTTTCTAGGGGCAACAGACATGCTAGACTGATGTAAACCACTGCCATTTGATTTCACAATCTCTGCTTAGAGACATGAGCAGAGAAATGTGTACAAAGTCACCCTGAGTACCTTCAAGTTCTATTTTGTTTTTTCATTTCCAAGGATTAGTAATAGTTTTTCACAGAGACAATATGATAATGTTTCACAGGAAAGACATATGTGCTATTTCTAAGATAAATCTAGTTGTAGTGATTTTACCTCTCTAAATTAAAGTGACTAGTACAAAAGAAAAAACAGCACATTTCCTCTAATTTGGGGAAAAACAGATTCAATTTAAATATGACAGAGACTCTTCTTACACAAGTTGTTGTTGTTCAGGCGTGTCCAACCTTCATGACCCATACTGGAGTGGTTTGCCATTTCCTTCTCCAGTTCATCTTACAGATGAGGAAACTGAGGCAAACAGGGTTTTGCCTCAGGGTCACACAGGTAGTAGATGCCTGAAACCAGATTTGAAGTCAAGTCCTCTTGACTCAAGGGCTGGCACACAATGGATACTCTGTGCCATCTAGCTGCCCAAGTCCCTTCAGGAGTAAAGTGAAGTGAAGTGAAGTGAAGTGAAGTGAAGTGAAGTGAAGTGAGGTGAGGTGAATCATTTATGTCTCTGCTCACTTCCTTGCATGTATACCTAATATCTCACCTAGGTTGGATCTACTGTTGCCCCTTCTATTTTTTTTCTACTCTAATTATCTGTATACATGTTGTATCCCCTCAGTAGAATATAAACTCACTGAGAAATAAAGTAAAGTGAGGTGAGATGAGGTGATAGTACAGTGCATTGCACATACAAGATGCTTCATAAATGTTTGAATGAATGTGTGCCTTTTATTTTTTTGGTGAGGTAATCAGGGTTAAATGACTTGCCCAGGGTCACACAAACATATGGCTTTTAAAGCAAGTGAGAGATGGCCTTCGTTTTAAAATTGGAATTGTTTAGTCGTTTCAGTCATGTATGACTCTCTATGACTCCTTTTTGATTTTTTTAGGTTTTTTTGACAAAGACAGTAGAACGGTTCGCCATTTCCTTTTCCAGCTATTTTGCAAGTGTGGAACTAAGGCAAAAAGGGTTAAGTGACCTGCCCAGGGTCACACAGCTAGTAAGTGTCTGCAGCTAGATTTGAACTCATGAAGATGAGTTCATGAAATGGAAAACCAGTATATTTTTTAACTATTCACATGTTTAAACACAAATCTAATTTCTCAAAGAAATTTCAGCTATTAATTATTCTTAACATGATATCTTTGGATTTATAATCACTGTCTTATAGGTGAAGAAACAAATCAAGAAAGAGACAGTAACTGGTATATGTTAAAATACAGTGACTACTCATAGATCTGGGATTAGAACACTGGACCTTCCAGTTTACTTTTTGTTTGCCATCTACCATGTTCTTGACAAGGTCCCTGAAGGAAAACAGCCACTTAAACCTACTTTCTAAATAACAAATGCCCAATTATTTAAAAAGCCCCTCAGGACAGGAGAGATTATGATCTCCCCTGGATTTAATAATAGCTAGCATTAATATTATGACTATTATGTGTCAGTTACTACATTAAGCGTTTTACAAATATTATCTCCTTTAATCCTCACAACAACCCTGGGAGGCAGGTTATATTATTATCTCCTTTTACTGTTAAGGAAACTGTGACAAAATTTACAGAGAAGGAAGAGGATAATAAAACACATATCAACAGAATTATACTTCTACTAAACTCCCCCACAACCAAACAAATTATGCTTTTACCTGCACCACTTGCAAGGACAAAGCTGTATGTATAAATTCCTTGATGTGAGGATTCAAAGCTCTGGGGACTGCTGAAATCACTTTCAAAATTCTTCTCAATTCCAATAGTCCCTCACTGGTTATGGGATCTTCACATATGTTTTTTTCCTGTTCAACATACAAGAAATGTGAACCAGTTATTTCATTGCACATATTCCAATTTTCCTTACTACAAATCATTATTCTTAAATCGCTAGATGACAATCTGAACATAGTACAAACGCATGGCACACAGCTGAACACTTCCAATTTATCCTTTATGGTGCTTGTTTGTACATTATTGTTTGCACCCCAATAGACTGTGACCTCCTTGACAACAAGGGCTGCCTTTCACCTTTCTTTTCATCTCTAACTCTAAATGCAGGGCTTGGCACATAGAACACGCTTAATAAATGTTTATCAACTGACTGACATAGTAGGTGCTTACTGATTGATACTATGAAGTGTTCATGTTCTAAATTTACCGAAAACACACCCAAAAAATGCCAGGAGTTCTTTAACATTTATATTTTGCCTTTGTTGTTGTTCAGCTGTTTCCAACTTTTCACGACCTCATTTGAGGCTTTCTTGCCATTTCCTTCTCATTTTACAGATGAGGAAACTGAGGCAAACAGGGTTAAGCAACTTGCACAGGATCACACAGCTAGTAAGTGCCTGAGGCTGGATTTAAACTAAAGAAGAAGAGTTTTCCTGACTCCAGGCCCTGCACTCTATCTACTACCCCACCTAGCTGCCCCATAGTTTGGCTACAGATACCTAAGGCTTGAATAAAGAAAGCCTCAACATGCAGAGGGCCTTGATTTTGTAGAAGTAGGAATTCTTGCCCCAGATACCAACCCGTATATAACTCATAGGATTGGAGATTAAGATCTAGAAGGGACCTTAGAGGCCACAGAGTCCAACCCCCTCATTTTAAACATGAAAAAACTGAGGCACAGAGTGGTTAAAGTGATATGCCCAGGGTCACAGAGCTAGCGTCCTCAGCAGGCATATGCCAGAGGATTTGAACCCCAGTTTTCCTGAAATCAAGTTCTGTGTCCTAACCTCTACACTACGCTATCTCTGGTCTTAAAGAGTTGTCTGAGGCTTAAAGAAATTAAATGACTTCCCCATGGTTACAGAGTAACCAGTAAATATAAGATACAGGAATTTGAATCCAGGTCTGCCTCATTCTAAGTCCTTCATCCACTATGCCATGCTGAGTCAAGAATATTCACTTTCGCAAAATGGAGCTATTTGCTTCAGCCACTAAATGCAGAACCATTTAAAAATCAACTGAACAATAACCAAAATGTAAAATAAGGCATGTATAACAGATTTTTCTCTGTAGAAAACAAAGAAAGCCCCATTCAATTAGAAATGACGACAAAGAATGGTAATGGCCCACTGTCAGAAGGACAACCTCTTCAAGTCTCAGTTAAAAACCTCCTTCAGATATCGCCCTGGGACCATCTGATATTCCCAAGCTGAATATTTATTAGTGACATGTCTGAACTGCTACTAAAAAGGAAGCGAAGTTCAAACAAAAAAATATCCTGCAGGCATCTTGCTGCATATACTACACCATTACTCATTTTAATGACAGGGAACAATGAGCATTGTGCAAATCAAGTATAACTTAAATTTCCCAATAACACTTTACTTTCTTTTGTTGTAGAATCAGAACATTTCACCTTTTTGACTGATCTGTACAATAACTAACTTGTGGGACCTCAGACCCTCATAAATATCAGTATATAACTCGGTTTTTTTCTCAATTGCCCAAATGAACTTAATGACATGAAAATGTGGCCCGCTTAACTCAGAATGCTACTCTCCTTCCTCTATCAGTACTCTAAAACCCATCCCTCTTTCCCCAATTGGTGGTCTCTCTTCCTTTCTCTTCTCTCACTAGTATTACTTAACTTCTCTTTCCTCACAATGCCCTTCCTCACTGCCTAGAACAGAACTGCACAACCTATGGCCCTGGGCCACTTGCAGCCTGCCAAAGGATTTCCTGGAGTCCACAAAAAATGTAGAGAATGTCAAAGAAAGTAAAGAAGTAACAAGTGCTTTGTCCATGCCCTGCTTAACCTGCCTTCCACTAGTCACTATTGTGCCCATCGTGTAACTTGGCAGGTGGTTGCCACTGCGCACTCTCTGTTTGTCACATGACCCGAAGCAACCAACCATCATCTGTCTGTGTCTAGTCTGAGAAGGACACACTGCGTTTTCAATCCTTACTGGTGTTTAATAGGAACAAAGTGAGAGCAGCAAAGTAATTTTTTTTGACATTAATGTGATTTCATGATAAAAGTCTTAAGTAATAAGGGTAATTAATTGATATTCATTGAACTTTCCCATTTTTTTAAAACATGGTTTATTGCAAAATAGTTTAATCACTAATTTATACGTTTACTTGGAAAGTGAGCTGCTAAAAACCTATCTGTGGCTCAAAGAAGTTCAGCCTATTTTAATTTTGGCCCCTACCTACTGCCAAGTTGTGCAGGTCTGGCCTAGAAGAACACTCCTCTCTCCTCAATCTAATGTCTTTTAAGAAATTCAATACATAGGGGCAGCTAGGTGGTGCAGTGGATAGAGCACCAGCCCTAGATTCAGAAGGACCTGAGTTCAAATTTGGCCTCAGACACGTAACACTTACTAGCTGTGTGACCCTGGGCAACTCACTTAACTCCCTTGCCTAGCCAAAAAAAAAAAAATCAATACATATTGAAGTGCTTCCTGTGTGCAAAGCATAGCAGTAGGTGGTAGGGCTACAAAGACAAAAAAGGTAATCATCCCTGCCCTCAAGGAGCTTACATTCTGCCATCCCCATACTTGTGTCATCATGAGTACTTTCGAATCACGGTTGGTCATTATGTTGATCAGAACTTCTAGGCCTTTCAAAGTTGATTTCTCTTCACAATATTGTTATTATTTATTAAACTGTTCTCCTAGTTCTTCTCACTTCCCTTTGCATCAGGTCATATAAGACTTAATATGTTACCATCATTCAAATCAAATTATGTCAGCTACTCTTCTCCAAAAAATCCCACACACTATAAAAAGATCAATAAAGCACAATTCTGATCATGTCAATGATCAAATGTGAAAGCATATGTCTGATTCAAGTCCCAATTCAAAAACCTCCCTAGTACCCAACGAATAAGCTGAAATCTTTAAGCTGGCTTTCAAGGCCCTCCACAATCTAGCTCCTAAACCTACTTGTTAAGACTTATCATTAGTGTGATAAAGTAAAATGAGCACTTAGTTTGGAGGCAGGGGAGGGTTCAAATTCCTGTGCTGCTTCTCATTACCCATGTAGCCTTGGACAAGTCATTTAACCACTCTGGCCCTCAGTTTTCTCATAAAAGGGTTGAGCTAGACAACCTCTGAGGTCCCTTCTGGTTCTAAACTTATGACCCCAGTCACTAACCTCCAATTTCCCTAACATGTATCCTATATTCCAGCTAAATTAGAATATTTGCCCTTTCCTGAACATTCTTTCCCACTTGTAAATTTTTGTTCATTTTGATCCCTCTTTCTGGAATGTCCCCCTCCATTTTTGCCTGTAGAAATCCTACTCATCCCTCAATACCCAATGCAAATAGCATCTCTTCAATAAAACTTTTCCTGATTCTCTTCAGTCCAAAGCGACATCTTCCTCTTCCAAACTTCCACCGCACTGTGTTCCTGTTTCCCTCAACAACCGCCACATTTTGCGTTGTGGTGTAGTTAGATATGTTTATATCATATATTGACAGCACATAATAGGCATTCAACCAATAGTCGGTGAATGAAGTTGTAAAGAAGCTTCATCTTATGGCAGAAGTGCTTAACTTTTTTTGTGTCATGGGTCCTTTTGGCAGTCTGGTAAAGTCTATCGGACTCTACAGAGTCATGTTTTGTAAACTGACAGAATTACAAAGGAAACCCACAGTTAGTGAAAATAAAGATGTAGATTTTCTTTTTTCCATCCAAATTCACAGACTCCCTCAAATGCTAACAGACTCCTTAAGGCCCCAGGTTAAGAACCCTCGTCACATGGGTTGGGCTAGAGAGCTGCTACAGTTCATTCCAATTCTCAAATTTTGTGATTCTTTTCATCAAATATTTCATAAAGATATCTTAATGTAGTAATGATTTATAGTAACGTTGTAGTGATTTGGCCTTGGCACAATAAAGAGCTTGTTAATTGATCAATCAAAGAGGGTTTTTTTTTCCTTTTTTTGGTAAGGCAGTTGGGGTTAAGTAACTTGCCCAAGGTCACACAGCTAGTAAGTGTCATGTGTCTGAGGTCGGATTTGAACTCAGGTCCTCCTGATTCTCAGGCTGGAGCTCTATCCACCTCACAACCTGGCTGCCCCAATAAAATAGGTTTTTAAAACTATATAGATATATAATATTTCATTCTCTCAATTACAGCCAAATATAAATGATAAACTAGAACACTGCTTTAGCTGCTATATTGTAATTCTCTTAATAATCATTATTCAAAGAAGAATTTATACTGTAACTTATTTTCTTCTGTGGTATTAATGTATTGCTAATACACTTGGTTGAAACAACATATATGCCTTCATAACATTCGGCCTTCAATCCATCTTTGCAAAATTGATGCCACAATGCAACAAGCTGTAATGCCGATAATTTACCCTTCTGCCCCGCACAGTTGTTTATAAACACTTTTCTTTTCTCAATCTGATTCCCATAATTCTTGCTTTAGCTCAATTTGCTTATGATTCTTATTTCAAGTATGGTAGGTTCTCTTTAACAGGCAAAATGTGGCGGTTGTTGAGGGAAACAGGAACACAGTGCAATGGAAGTTTGGAAGAGGAAGATGTCACTTTGGACTGAAGAGAATCAGGAAAAGTTTTATTAAAGAGATGCTATTTGCATTGGGTATTGAGGGATGAGTAGGATTTCTACAGGCAAAAATGGAGGGGGACATTCCAGAAAGAGGGATCAAAATGAACAAAAACTTAGAACTGAGAGAGAATGGTGAATGTTCAGGAAAGGGCAAATATTCTAATTTAGCTGGAAACAGTCTTTAACAGTCTCCTTAACAGCTGGTGCAACTAGGTGGCACAGAGGATAGGGCACCGGGCCTGAAGGCAAGAGGACCTAAACCCAGCCTCAGACACTTGACAATTTACTAGCTCTGTGTGATCCTGGGCAAAACCCGATTCTCCAAAAAATAAATAAAAAGTCATGTAGATAATGAGTGTTAGACTTACTGTTATTTTATATTTAATCATTTTAGTAGCTATATGCCCCCCACTACAATACACATTTCTTCAGCTTTATAACTAGCTTATTAACAATTAGGATCCACCTTCATAATAAGACAATAAACATGATGAAAATACATCATAAAATCCACCACATATTGTATTGCCACTAACTACAGGAGATGGTGAGTTATAAGTTGAGGTTGGCTTGAGACTCATCTTTCATTTGTGGATATGAAAGTCATATTAACAAAGCTGAAGAAAAGGAAAGGGAAACTACACATTTAAACTTTAGCATCCATCCATCCAACCATCCATTCATTCAACAATTACTTAAGGAACACCTACTTTGCTAAGCCCTTTAAATAGACAGTAAACTCCGAGAAGGAAAGTACCATGACGGGCAGGAGCCACTAAATGGAACCCAAGTTATGATGCCCTGAACAGTTGGACAAAAGATATAAGTAACAATAGAACACACTTACATAACTTCAGAGATTTACTAAAAAAAATAAAATGTATTGTCAAGGTATGTTCCAAGGTGAGATTCAGCCCAGTACCCTACAACTTCCACCTTTCAATCTATGGAGCTGAACAGTGAGAACTGATATTCAGAATTATAACTTACACTTATATTGCACTTTAAGGTTTACTAAGTATTTTCCTCATAACAATCCTGTAAAGTAAATAGTACAAGATAATCTTCATTTTATAGATGAGAAAACTGAAGCTTAAACTGAAGCCCAGTGGCTGGGCTAGTCACTGTCAAAATGGCCAAATTCAATTCATTCCTGACTCCACTGTCTTTTTAAATTTTTTTTTAATTTTTATTTTCAGTTTCAAATTTTCTCCTCCCTCCAGCCTCTCCTACACCCATTGGCAAAGCAAATAGCACTCTTACACTGACCTTGATACAGTACCAAGCTTCTGAACTATCAAAGAAGCATTTATTTGGGTTCCCTGTGAAATATTCTATTTACTGAGGTAGGGAAAGGGCTTCATATAAAGATTATATAACAGACAATGAAATAGAAAGTTCAATTGATTTCTCATTCCAATCAAAGTTTTTACTACTTTCTGAAAAGTCCTTTAACAACCGGCTAAAAGAATTAAGTTTACTCTTACCATCTGATTAGCTGACACCTTCATTTGTCTCTCACTTTTTCTCTTAGCGTCATTCTCCATAGTTGAACTCGTAGTATTAGGTTCAATGGAAGCTAAAAGAGAAAAGTTTATTCAAAACACAGGATATAATCATCTTGGTTAACTTCACAGCTCTTGACTTGTTGAAACCTTGTATGAAAGTCTCAAAGACTTCACTATGCTGTCCAAAAGATAGTTGATGCTAGATGCCATATCTTTTTGGGAAATCAGGGTAAAGCAAAGAAATCTTTGCCTTTCCATTTTGACTGGGTGTTAGTATACACCACAAAGACTTAATACAAAACACCCTGCATCTTTAGCAGTTATATAATAGCAAACAAACAAAAAAAGAAAAGATTACTCTGAGGCATGATTCCAAGTTAATTTGAATGGAATGGCCCCCTGAAATTACTTTCTTTTTTTTTTTTGGTAGAGATAACCCACTCTGAACAAAATGTATTTTAAATAACCTAGCCTGTTTAAAAAAAAAAAAGTTGTATCACTTGGTTTCTCTTTAAGTCAGCCTCTAGGCTCTCATCCTTTCTAGGTAATCAGGTTTTCAGAAATAATTAGTGTTCAAGAACATTCTAAGGTCAACATATAAAGTGAACTGATGTTGAAAAACAATTACCTATTATAAGAAAAGCAATGACCTGTTGTTTTTTAATTTCCTTATCTGGACAACAATTCAAATTGGAAACCAATACATTAATGGCCTATGTCATAGCAGGAAAAAAATGCACACACTAAGTCAAGTCCAATTTAACAAACATTTATTAAGTGTTACACACTAGGCATACAGGGAGAAGCAGCATAGCATCCTAAAGAGAGCTGGCCATGAAGCCAGGAAGACCTTGCTTTCCAATACCACGGATGAAACATATTAGCGATGTAGGGAAATTCTCTAAGTCCATAAATTGAAGCTCTGAAGTGATAGGGAAATGTTTCCTCACCAGTAACATTCCCTACACTGATGAAATCAAAGTTCCACATAAAAAGTATGTGTGAATACATGTTTAAGAACCCACTGTGATAGGCCCTGTGATAGGCTCCTCAAGGAGTTGATATTCTACTAACCAAATATTACATTAAATTAATTTGTTCATTTGGAGGGGCAGCTAGGTGGCACAGTGGATAGAGCACTGGCCCTGGAGTCAGGAGGACCTGAGTTCAAATCCGGCCCCAGACACATAACACTAGCTGTGTGACCCTGGGCAAGTCACTTAACCCCAACTGCCTCACCAAAAAAAAAAATGTAAGAAAATATGTTCATTTGGATGGTATTTGTACTTTACCACATTTAACCTTCCTACTCAAGTAACAGCAACACCTCTACCACCACCTATCATTTATACAGCACTTTAAAGTCTGCAAAGAACTTTACACATGTTTTCTCTTTTGTTCCTCACAACAACCCTGCAAAATAGGTAATATTATTATCCCCATTTACAGATGAGGAAACTGAGGCTAAGAGGTTAAGTGACTTACCCTGGGTCACACAGCTACTAAGTAGGTATCTGAGGTAGAATTTGAACTTCTTTCACTGCCCCAACTAGCTCTAGCACATCCTTCAATTTGCTCAGATCTTCTTCTATTTCTGTTAGTAAAATTTTAAAGGGTTATATTCTTTTTGTACAGATCTAACACAGGCCTTGTGAGTTAATGCAGACATTTGATTTTTTTTGTAATTTAAATTAATAGGATGTGGGGACTTTTTCTGATATTCCTCAGTACTTATTAATGGCATATAAAACATAAATGATTGAGAGTTTCATATACTCTGTCCACTACCTTGCTGAAAACTGTTTTGTTTTTTTTTTTCCCACCGAATCCACTATATTTTCTGGGTATACCACCAAACACCTGCAAATAATATTTTAACCTCTGTTCCTCTTGTTCATCCCTTAATTTACTTTTATCTGAATTTGATTCTTTTAATAGCTGAGCCACTTTTTCATAAATATTTAGCAGACTACATAGCTGCAAATCCTCCCTCTCCTATACTCTCCAAACATTTGCTATTGATTTCAGTTCACCTATCTTTTCACTCCTAATTCTGACTTACCTATCATCAATAGGGATTTCCCTCAAAACTTCTTTTGGCTATCGCGCTTCCTAAGAACAGAAGCAAATTTAGTAAAGTTGCTCTCTAATCACAGAACAGAAAAAAAAACATTATCAAACATTCTTTTCAGATGTCCTTGGTTTCTGATACGAAAAGACAATTTGTTCTCTAACTACAACCAAAAATAATTTGGATCGCTAAAGTCAATCGATCAATCAACATTTATGAAGTACGTGCTCTGTGCCAGGTACTGTTCTACATGCTGGGAATACTAAAAGGGGCAAAAGGCAGTCCTTCTCCTCAAGAAACTTACAATCTTACACACCCTTTGCAGGAGTACAAAGTAGGACGTTTTGCCACCAGGAGCCTTACCAAAGACCTACCTTTTCCCATCCAAATATACGAAGTTGTGTTGTGTCTCCACTGTCCTAGATAGAATAATTGGCACTCCTAGCCACATGCGTACAGTCCCTTTTATGAGCAGAGTCTAGGACTCGGCACACTTGTATAGAATCTCAGGTTTTACTGGAATAAATCAATCCTTAAAGAGTTGGCTATACAGTAAATCTCTTTAATTCAAACACTAAATATTATTTTTTTAAATGGCTGAAGAAACTGAAGCCCAGAATGACTTGCCTAAGATCACCCAGGTAACAAATAAATGGAAGAAGGAGTATTGGAATTTAGGTCCTCTGACAAGTAAATAAAGAATCAGTGCCGCTTCCACTGTTCCACGTTGCCTCACTTTATATCAATTCAATAAGCGTGTGTGCATTATGCATCCATTTTGCACACACACTAAGGTAGCTTCTTTCTGTGAGAAAAGGAGGAAGGAAAGCTGGGTCAGAATTTTTAATGATTTGCCTAAGGTTTCACATTTTCTGACTCCCAGTGCAAGCTCAATCATTGTACCTGCAGTTTACACACCAGATTCATGAAAACCAAGGTTCCTTAAGGCAATTCAATAGGTTCTTTAAAAAGAAAGTGAGGGGTAGATAGGTAGCACAGTGGATAAAGTTCTGGCCTTGGAGTCAGGAGGACCTGAGTTCAAATCTGGCCTCAGACACATGACACTTACTAGCTGTGTGACCCTGGGCAAGTCACTTAACCCCAATTACCTCACCAAAAAAAAATGTGAAATCACAACAAACCTATTTGCTTCTGTCTGTTCTGTCATTTCCACATTACAACCCAATATTAAAATACAGGCTGAGTTCCCAAACAATGAACAATACTGCATAAGAATTCTGCTACCTCCCAAATTTTGCAAAATTCCACAATATTAAGTATACTTCTTAGATACTGCATGGGTAGTACTGCAGAACAAGAAAGCTATACAGTCACATTTAATCTTTTGGAGACATTTGGTCAACCAACAGGTATTAATTAAGCACCCACCAACTTGTCAAGCACCTTGCTAAATGCCAGGGACACAAGTAAAATGAATAAAACAATCCTTACTCTGAGGGAAGTGGGTGACATAATGGATATTGTACTGGACTTGGAGTCAGGAAGACCTGAATTCAAATTCTGCCTGAGACACTTATTAGTTGTCTAACCCTGGATAAGTCACTTAACCTCTTTTTGCCTCAGTTTCCTCATCCATAAAAATGGGAATAAGAGTACCTACCTAACAAGGTTGTTGTGAAGACTAAATAAGAAATACACACACATATACACACATATACACCCACACAAAATGTGTATATGTTTATATACATAATGTATATGTATTACAAACCTCAAAGTATATATGAATGCTAAGCTATCAATATCATATCATTATTACTCACAAGGATTTTATTCTAATGGGAGAGACAAGTACATATATAAATAAATATATCATCAATGTCAAGTAAATAAAGTTACGAGGAAATATTACATCCCTAAAAAAATGCCTCATAAGAAGGATTAAACCATTACACACAGACTGTGACTGTATGGCCAAAGTAAAATGGCCAATTAGCCAGATAAGTCTAATACTATAGTTGATTAATTTGAGAATTTTAGCCCCAAACCTCATTTTTCTTTTAAATTAGCTGACTGGCTCATGCATATCAATATGTGCATTGGGCTTTTGGAGATCTAGCTGAGGGTGGGCGCTCACCCGGATGACGTAAGGTGCTAAGGGAATTTTTCTGAAGGTCTCAACAGGTGAGGAGGACCCTGGAGTTCCACTTGTTAAGATGAAAACTTAAATGGCTGTCATTTGGTGACTTTAGAAGCAGCACTGTAAGGACTCCCCTGGTGACAGATCTGACAGTAAGGAGGAAATTGTATCTCCCCAACAGCCAGTCACCCAAACAAACCACGAACAACCACTCTGTCACTGGGAGAGGCCCAAAAAGAGCATGCTCTGACACATCTGACAACATGTACTCAGTTACCATCCCCCAGCAACTTGGATTTGATGGATTGCTCTAAGTCATTCTCCAGTTTCCCAAAGATATGGCGAAAGAAAAAAAAATGTGGTTTCTAAGAGCAGCAGATCCTGATCTTTCCCATCCTCACAAACTGACAAATTTCTAAGTCTAAGGATCATAGAATTTAGTGCTAGAAAGAACATTACAGATTATCTAGTTCCACTTCTCATTTTTTTAAAATACAAATTCATTTTATTTTTAATTCCAATCAATCAACATTTATTAAGCACCTACTATGTGCCAGGCACTGTTCTAAGTGCTGGTGACAGAAAAAGAGGCAAAAGATAGTCCCTGCCCTCAAGGAGCTTACAATTTAAAGGGGGAGACAACATGCAAATATTTACAAATATACATACAGAATAAATGGGAAACAACAGAAGAAAGGCACTAAAATTAAGAGGCAATGGAGAAAGATTCCAGTAAAGGAATTTTAGAGGCTTAAAATGAAGCTCCAAATCCACTCCCACACACTGAGAAGGCAAGCAAAATAAAACCCATTACAACCATGTATAGACATGCAAAACAAATTTCTCTATTAGCCATGTTCTCAAGAAATGTTCCACTTTTTATACATAAGGAAACTGAGATCCAAGGGGATGAAGTGTCTGTTTTGCCCAAGGTCATACAGCATATCTAAGTGCCCTAAAGTCTTCAATTCAACTGACTACTAACTCTGGTATCATTGAACATGAAATGATATTCATGTTAACTTTCAATGCTGTTGTTAAAGATTATGTTTTTGTTTTGTTTTGTTGCTTTTTAAGCAGCAGCACAGTGTAATGAAGAAAACACTCATTCCTAATTCAAAGGACCTAATTCAAAGGTTCAAATCCTACCTCTATCATTTCCTACCTATGTGACCTTGGACAAGTCATTTGTAAAATGAGATGTTCTCTGGGATCTCTCCTATGATTTATGATCCAATGAACCCAGTCTAAATCGTTGGGGGTTTTTTTGTTTGTTTTTTAAAGGAGGTAGAATATCCCAATGGTTTGACACCCTTTATGAAGGTGGAGAGATGGTAGCCTATACGGTACCAAACAATTAGTCTGTGGTTCAAAATTCTCATTGCCAGTGGGATACTAAGAACTACATAGTAAAGCAACTAAGATAACGGGGAAGCAGAGCATATCCATGAATATAAGGTGTCTCTTTTCCTTGAATGACATAAATATCACTACTTTTTTATTATCTGTTCTAGTCAAAGGCCAATCACCGCAAATAACTGATTGTTTGGAACTCTGAAAAGCATTTTTCTCATATAAACAACATAAAACATGAAGATCTCACTCTCAAGCCTACAAGGTGAGTGCTTACAAGCCCTAGATTCACTGAATCCCCTGCAATGAAGGCAAGTTACCTATCCCTATGCTAATCTCTGTTCACAGTACCTTCTCTACCTGTTCTACCCAGGAGAAAGTGGCACAGTAGGGAAGGTCTTAGTAGTGAAGAGAAGTAGCAAGAAGGCATAGCTTGGTGGTGAAGTGAATAGAGCACCAGTCCTGGAAGACCGGAGTTCAAATTCGGCTTCAGACACTTTCTAGCTGCAGCATTCTTAGGCAAGTCACTTAACCCTGTTTGCCTCAGTTTCCTCATCTATAAAATGAGCTGGCGAAGGAAATGGCAAACCACTCTGGTATCTTTGCCAAGAAAATCCCCAGTGAGGTAGTGGAGAGTGAAAAACAACTGAACATTTGTCCCAGCAAGCCTAGGCGTCAAGAATTCTTTATTACTTCCAGGTTCTACCAATGAGCCTAGACCAATTCTTTATTTTGTTAAGGTTCCATTTTCTCTTAAAGCTGTGAGATAACATCTATCTTCAAGTTATACCTGCAGAGTCTTTTATAAGTTTTGCCTGCAAGGTACATGAAATCCTCAATTTATAAAGTTGTGTTCCAGAGCAAAGGTTGATTTATAAATCGTTTGGAACTCTGAAAACTATTTTTCTTATAAATAATACTAAACATGTTAGTCTTACTCTCAAGCCAATCCACCTATGCTTATTACTCTACTCCCAGGTGGGAGGAGAGGGAGTTAGGACCTATGGTTTCATTTTCATTTCTTAATAAGAATGTCCCCTCAGTCACTGCTGATCTGTAACTATTCTGCGTCTTAGCCTTGTCCTTGAAATAATGTACAAATGGTAACTCTAAGGCCTGAACTCAAGACATCTTCGGCTACCAAACAGTGTGTTGGCATGGTGGGAGGAATATATGAAAGAAAGAACCCCACTGGCATGAAGCTCTGTATTGCTGTGGGGACTATTTTTTCACAAACCAAAGCAGAGGCACAAAGCACAAAAAATAAGATAATCTTTTTACAAAGTCACATTAAAAATAAAAGTTCTTTTCTTGGATTCAGACTTTTCCAGGAGGCAGGCTTTACTGTATGTACAGGTTAGTAATGAATGCATAAGCAAATAATTTCTATTACACTTCCTGTAGCCACTATATTTGACTTTACACCTGTTTGGTGTCACATACTGAAATCTGAAGGACTGGCTAATTCTCAGGCAGTGTAATGTCATCTGCCAATTCCTCTTTTCCTTCCCCCACTCCCATCCCCACCCCCGACCATACTTCCTAGCCTGTGTCCTGCCTGTTTGAAACTGAAAGTCTTCCAATAGCTCACATCTTCCTCCTCACCCCTAGACTTAAATACGTCTTGCTTTCATCACTTACCCATTTAGAATAGTGTGTGTGTGTGTGTGTGTCTGTATGTGTCTAAAGTTAAGTTTGCAGGGTTTCCCCCTGCCTTTATTTCTGGGTGCAGGCAGAAAGCCAAAGAGGTGAGGCTGGGGGCGGGGGGGGGGAGAATGAACTTGTTCTCTGTGCTTCATCGCACTTATAAAGCCAGGTAAGGCACGAGCACAAGCCCTAAGGATTAATCATGATCATGTGATGAAAATGTTTTTCTTGAGATTTATCGTCGTTCCCTTGGATTTCCCAAACAACATTAAGAACCAGAGTCGCTGCTGTGCTGAGAGACCCCCACATTGATCGACTGCTGACCAGGGACAAGTAGGGCTTCAATCTGCAAAAAAGCAACTAGCTCATTTCCTAAAATGTTTTAAGTGTAGGTTAAAACTTTCCCCTGTTAAAAGCTCTCAATCTGCTGCTGTTCGTGACAGACCCCAGCAAGTTTTAAAGACAGGAGGAATATTGAGGAAATACTGGGGTGGGGGTGCAGCGCGGGAATCAGTCTCTTCAAAAAAAAAAAAGGCAGTTTCCAAACTATAGTAGAACGTAAAGGTTACCTCCAAGTCGCCTCCTCCCCTCCCCCCACACTCTAAATGTTGGGCTGAATTTTAAAAGGATAGAGAAATGAATGAACGCACTAAATAAACTAATCAGTCGAATGATTGAATGAGTAATTAAGAGACATATGGGTGTATTTTTTAAGCTACTTATATAAATATCCCGAGGTGAAACTATCCAGAGAAAAGTGCTCTAGGGGAAACTCCATTCCTCTACAAGCTCTCATTTCTATCATTCACTACAGAATACAGATCTGCTACAGCTCCAGAAGCCCAGAATTAGGACCAGAAGTGTTTGGCAGCAATAGCAGCCGCCGCACGGGGGTTGTGTTCCTAGAAACTGGCAGGAATTAATTAGACAAATATTTTAACAAGGTTCAGTTAAAATCACAAAACGTTCTTACCGTCCCAGGATAGAATGAGAGAAGGTCTTTAAAATTCTTAGGTAGGGACAAGAGGTGGCTAAATCTGGGCTTCGTTGCTGTGGTCACACCAGCAGGGACAAACTTTTCCAGTTAGTATGAAACTGAAACCAACTCATTTGGTCTTATTAACTGAGACCTCCTTCCTGGAACTTGAGGGACCCGCCCCTTCCCAGCAACCTGTGCTCTCACATTCAGGCTTGCTACAAATGTGTCATCTGAGGGCAGCTTAAAGTCACTTGTTTGGGGGGGGGGTGTGGGTGTGTGTGTGTGTGTCTGTGTGTGTCTGTGTGTGTGTGTGTGTGTGTGTGTGTGTGTGGGTGTGTGTCTGTGTGTGTGTTTTAAATACAGAACCTGCATACACCTTTACCTACCTGGCCACAAAGGGAAGTAAACAGCACTAAGAGGATTTTATCTGTAGCACCTGGGGGCACCACCACCACCACCTTCTACTCTCAGAATGGATTCTACCACACAAAGTTACCCTAATTTCAAAATACTCTGTGATTTCAAAGCCACTCAACATGAGAGCTCATAAAATGCGCTTCCTGATAGGCTCGCCTTTACTAGTCAACAAGAAGACACAGTTAATTCAAATCAAAGGTATTTTGTGAAACAGGAAAGTAAAAAAAGCAATTAAACATTTCCTCTATAAATCTGGGGTCCCCTCTTCTTTAGATACAGACACTATTAATGGAAAGAGTGAACACACAAAGGTACCACATGTGGAGAGTCACACACAGGGCCATGCCTAGCGCTCTGGAATGGAAAGGCAACTCACAACTCATACACTGGTAAAGGGTCAGTGTTAATAACAATAAAAATGATAATATTAATAGCAATGAATGGGATGTCCCAGTGAAGACTCCTCAGTGTAATCAAGGTTTGGGATAAGGCTGAGTGGAATAAGGGTTCCTGTGAAGACTTCTTAGAAGAATAAATAGAAATTGTATTAGACTCAAGGCAGGCATAGTAGCCTGACAGGCCTAAGTTTTAATTTACTAGAAATCACCTGAGTTACAGGATTCCAGTCCCAAGTACCCACCCCACCCCCCTTTTAGGCCATTGTTATATCAGTAGTTACAGTTTGCCAAACCTGAAACTCCTGAAGAAACCCCCCCTGTATCATGTTGCTACAACTATTGCTATACTTTAGCCATGGTGACCTTGTTACACAGTACAGTGTTTAGCTTGACTGCATATCTTTAATTGCTTTTTTGGTAACATTTCAACAAACTAAGGGCTAAATATGGATGTCTATAATTTGTAACTAAGATATGCATACTGTTTGTTGTTTGTTCCTGTGGTAGTGTTTCGTGTTGAAATGTGAGCCAAAACATTGGCCGGTTGGTGGGAGGGGAGCTTTACCCGTTAGGGCTATTTAATCAGGTCCTTTGCTCCTGTACTCTGTCTCCCCTCATCACAGTATACTGGTGGAGGGACACCCAAATCTCGAGATTTGAAATAATGATAAATTAACTTTCTCTTTCTCCTTGGATACCTCTGTGTGTTTTTTAATTTAAGTGGCATCTCACACAGCAAGAATGTATATAATGCTGATTTCATCACTGTTCTGACAGGCTTGCTCCTTATTGACCTTGCAGAACATGAAGTCTCTGTAGAACACTGATAATCCCCCGGCATGTGTAGCCTTCTAGCACCAATTTATGGGAAGCCTCTCTACTTTTAGCTTTTGGCTTCAGCTGAAGCCTATCTTTTACTCACATATTCCTCCATTCATGGGTGTATGGAGTTTTCAAGGAGGATTGGCAACTCTGCCCAGTCCTTTTCAGGGCTGCTCATCCACCTTTGGTGTCCATCTGGCATTCAACTCTCACCTGTGGCTCTAAGAAGCTGTAGCATGCACAGCCACTCCAGTAAACCAGTAAACATCTCAGCAGAAAGGCTAAACTAGGTTGAGGGTAACTGACAGGCCTCAAATCTGCCAGTGAGTTAGGGGTATATCTACCCCAAGCTTGTTAAGTCTTCCCGCACTGAAATGGATGGATAAAAATAATTTGTTCCAACAGCCTTGAAAGCAGTTTAAGCAGGTGCTGTGGAGTGTTAGCGCTTGAGTAGGCATCGAAGATGCCAAGTTCATCTACTGTATCTCGGGCCATAACCAGTTGTGCTGGTTTTTGTCTTGCCACTGGACTTCGATGACTCCAGAAGAGAGAGTGAGCCTGAGACTGCAATTCTGCCTCACTTAAATCCAATTTATCCATGAGTCACCCCATGATGCCATTGGTCCTCTTTGAAAATGAAAGACCAACAATATCTTTTACTCTTAGTAAAAGTCTTAGTCTAGTGGGCTATGTCATACTAAGTTTAAAACTCCAAAGTTCTCTCTGCTAGAGTTCTTTTAAGGAAAAAGAAGTGTTAACAGATCAAGTCAAGAGACTAAGAGGAAAAAAAATTTCCTGGGGGTAGGGAAGGTTGACTGAGTTTTCCCTCAGGCTCTACATTCTTTGAAATACAGATCTGAGAACAACCAAAAGGGAGAAGTAGGAAGACCAGCAAAACTTAGTTTCTGCCCCAAACCACTCTGAATAATCAATTAATATTTATTAAAATTAATGAAATTAATAAATATTTATTAAGCACCTACTATATGCCAGGCCTGTGCTTAATGCCGGAGATACAAAAAGAGGCAAAAAGACAATCTCTGCACTCAAGGAATTTATAATGCCATGGGGGAAACAACTAGCATATAAATACATACAAACAAGTTATATATGAGGAAAATAGGAAATAAGGGAAGGTGGTAGAATTAAGAGGGGTTGATGAAGTGTTCTGAAAGTAAAAGGATTTTCATTGGGACTTGAAGTTACTAGAAGCTAAGTGGTGCTGTGAATATATTGAAGTTTAGGGGTTTAGGGATGCTGGGACCCCAAAATCCCAACACCTGGGTTTTGCCTGAAAGAATTTGACCCAAGCCTTCTTTCAGCCAAAGACAAGGTTTATTAGAACATCCGTCATATTGGGCAGCCAGATTGTAAGAATCTAAGCATTTTAATGGAGACAAGAGGGACCTTATGTACAGAAAGACTATGGGAGGGATCTAGGAGTGGGCAAGTGGTCTATGAGGTAATAGAATCCAAGGACCTGGACCTTGGACCAAGGGAGAATGGAGCCTAGACAGGATTAAGGGTGGGAAGTGGCCTGGGGCCATAGGGAGGTAAAACAATGGAGGGCTAGGCTAGGTTAATGGTAACAGAATTGGGAGATTGGGTGTAGCCACAGTGAAAGGCCAGTTGATAGGATTATAGCCTCAGTGGAACAACAATTTGGCCTTGTGGGAAAGTCCAGGGTTTTTCCTTTTTGGGGTCTAGATCCCATCCTCATCAAATAAAGCATTATCCCCAAGAGTCAGGGAGACCTGAATTCAAATCCAGTTCCAGACTCTTACTAACTGTGTGACCCTGGACAAGTCACTTAAACTTGTTTGCCTTGGTCTCCTTATCTATAAAATGAGCTGGAGAAAGAAGTGGCAAGTCACTCCAGTATCTTTGCCAAGAAAACCACAAATGGAGTCTCAAAGAGTCAGACACAACTAAACACAAAGGAAGCTATGGAAGTTAGGAAGCCCAGTGGAGGAAGGAGACAGGGGAGACAGCCAGACAAAATGCCCAGGGCCCAGAAATGGAATGTCTTGTTCATAGAACAGTCAGAAGGCCAGGGTCACTGGATCCAAGAGTACGTGAGCTCTGCAGTAGTGATCAGGAAATCAAGAGGTAAAAACAAACAAACAAAAAACAACAGTGAATCATTTTTCACATGGAACAGGACTTCAACTTGGGGGGAAGGGGGACCCTAAAGCTGGACATGAGGTTGACCTGAACCTGTATTTCAAGGTAAGGGCAGTCACAGATGGTGTGGGGCAGGGGGAGTTGGGACACAGACTAGCTATTCAAGAAGATGCTAGGGAGTGATCTACAGCTATAATCATCTAACCATAGAGTTAGATGATGTAGGAAAGGATGTACAGATGGGACTGACTTCCAGCTATGATCTAGGGCAAGGAATGAACAGGAACTGCAAATCCAGTTTGAACCTGGCCTAAGGCTATGTACTGTGCAAAGAGCAGGAACCAAAGTTGGCCTTGACTATTGGCTCCAGTCTGACATAGTGCCCTCAGAATCAGCCTCTGAACCAGTCTGAGGCTTGAGGCTGAGTAGCAAAGGGGAGCGAGCTCAGACTAAAGGGGAGACTGAAGTGCTGTCTCTCTGAATCTGCAGTTATGCAGCTAACTGATGGGGGCTAGGGGTAGTAGCAATCTACTGGAAGTCCAACAAGAGGCAAATCTATGGCTTTGCTGCCCAGACTGAAACCATGGTCAGGAGTTTGTAAAGCTCAGACCGGATGGGCAATGACCAGACTTTACACTACATCAGACTTAGAACACACTGAAAATTTGTAAGTCCCCCTGAAAGCCTTGAAGAACAGACTTATTATCAAAGGATAGAAGTAGTAGTGATGGGGTGCTTGGGTGCTTATGTTTGGGTGCTTATGCTTGGACCCCAATTTCTCCCTAGCCTCAGAAACACTATCCCTGACAGTTTCTCCCCAGCCCAAGGACACTGTGCCTAGCAATTATTCGTGAGTGGGCCTCAGCAAGACCCTTATCTCTGTCCTTGGTACAGTTACAAACAACCTCTGAAGGAATTATTAGTTTAAACTGGCTTTGCACTGGGTCATAAAGATACTCTTAACCACTGGACTGTCTGTACTACCGCCCTACCTCATTATCTACATCCTGGACTTCTCATTAACTGTATTCTAGACTTAAGATATATGGATACTCCCTACATCTATCTTGTCAAACAAGACATTGACTGGCAGACTGGACAACTCTCAGTTACCCCTGAACTCTAGTTAACTTAGTAATGTAGCACACCTAAAACCACACCTCCATGTGGCCCCCCCTTGTGGGCTTTTCCCAGTGAACTCTGGGTATAACGCCTGTGCAGTAGGTACAAGAAGTGCATATTCTTTTAAGAACTGACCACTCCTTAACCACTCCCTAATCCCACCCTGAATCACCTAGTTAGCATATTTGGCACATGTTTTATTGTATTTTATCCTATATAACTTTAACTGTACCCCTCTA